TTTCCAGAATAGTTTTTTCCTGCATCTCTCAACTCACTTTCCATCATCTTTCATGAATGGAAACCTAGCAGTCTCCAGAACACACTGCATCCATAAACTCTAAATATCTATCATTTTTTAAGCCCCAGTGGAGGGGCCTATGAAGGGGGAAAGCACCAGCAGAATAAAGAAAAACCTATCTCCCTATACCTGCTCCCACAATTCCTATCCAGATCTAGCTTGATGCATTGACATCTTGGCCTCTCACACTCCTACTTTGTTTCCTTATTGTACTCGACTGGAAGAGTCCTCTCCAACTTGGAAGGGAGTAGACATTGTCCTATGAGGAACAGGAAATTATAATTCAGGGTTTGCCTGATTTTGAAAAGAATATCAGCTCAAAATTCATCAACAAACTTTTTTTTTAATGCAAGACAATTTGTTAGGTAGATGCTTACTCAACTGTCCAGTTTCTAGCCTCTTTATGAACTGAAGTCACTCTCCAAAAGGTCCTCCTAATTGTCAAACCCAATGCCCTTTTTACAGTCAGTCCTCATCCTCCTTGTCCTTTCTAAAGCATTCAAGCCACCTCACCACTCCTTATTTGATACCACTGTCTCCTCTTTTGGTTTACATATCTGTAATCTCTTCATTCTATTGTTACCTCTCTGATTCTTCATCTCCACTGATGATTCTTCTGTCATGTAACCACCTAATACAAGCATTTTCAGCCCTCTTCTTCTCTGATTACATATTTTTATTTTTCAAAATTTGATTTCCAGGGGCAGTTAGGTGGCACAGTGGATAGAGCACTGGCCTTGGAGTCAGGAGGACCTGAGTTCAGATCCAGCCTCAGATACATGATAGCTGTGTGACCCTGGGCAAGTCACTTAACCCCGACTGCCTCGCCAAAAAGAAACAAAAAATTCAATTCCCAAATCTAAACTTCTTTTTGAAGCTCCAGACTCATATTTCTAACTGCCAGCTACTTATGTTCATTTTGATATCTCACAAGCCCCTCAAACTCAACATTTCCAAAATTACACTTATGATCTATACTCTTCCCTCATGAAAATAAATGAATGAATGAATAAATAAGTAAATATGCTTCCTGTTCTTCCTTCTAACTTTACTTTTTCAATTGATGGCATTACCCTTCTAGTCATCCATGCTTCCTAGACCAGTTTTTAAAAAATAATATTTTATTCACCCCCAATTACATGCAAATACAATTTTTAGCATTCTTTTTTTTAAATTTTGAGTTCCAAATTCTATCCCTCTCTCCTTCCTTTCCCCCATCCCTGAGATGGTAAGCAATCTGATATGTTATATATGTGCAATCATATAAAACATTTCTATATTAGTCATTTGTACAAGAAGACAGAAAAAAAGAAAGAAAAGAAAAGGAAGGAAGAAAGAAAAGGAAGGAAGGATGAAAAGAAAGAAAGAAAAGCTTCAGTTTCTATTCAAACAAGATTAGTTTTTTCTCTGGAGGGGGATAGCATTTTTCATCCTGAGTCCTATGGGGATTGTTCTGGATCATTGTATTACTGAGAAGAGCCAAGTCATTCATAGTTCATCATATAATATTGTTGTTACCGTGTACAAAATTCTCTTGGTTCTGCTCTTCACTTTGTATCAGTTCATGCTTTTCTGTATCAGTTCCAGGTTTTTCTGAAATCATACTGTTTGTCATTTCTTATAGCACAATAATATTTCATTACTATCATACACCACAACTTGTTCTGCCATTCCTCGGTAGATGGGCATCCCCTCAACTTTCAATTCTTAGCTGCCACAAAAAGAGCTGCTAAAATTTTTTTTGTACAAGTAAGTCCTTTATCCTTCTTTTTCATCTCTTTGGGATGCAGACCTAGCAGTCCAGACCGGGAGTTTTTAGTCTCCTCCTCTCATATCCTTCTTCTGTGCTTCAGGAGATCCAACAGATCTTATTAATATAGATACTGCCTATTTGGTGTTTTTTACCTTATTTGTTGTCTCCACCACTTAGAACAGTGCCCATCACATTATAAGTACTTGATTGTAAGTTTATTGATTGGTGATACTCCCTCTAATGGTGAGGATCATTCAGTCGTTCTTTTTGTAATTTTCAATGTCACCTCCCAAGATTGTCTCTATCTGTTGATCATAAAATCCCTTATCCATAGATCTGACAGGCCATTTTTTCCCATGCTTACCTAATTTCCTTATGACACATCCCTTTAAGTCTAAATACTGTAACTATTTTAACCTTACCTTGGTATTTGGTGTGAGATCTCAGTCTATGTCTAGTTTCTGCCAGACTGCTTTCCAGTTTTCCTTGCAGTTTTTGTCAAATGCTGAGTTATTGCCCTCAAAGCTTAGAATTTGGGTTTATGAAACACTAGATTACTGTGGTCATTTACTTCTGTCTGTTGTACACTTCATCTATTCCACTGATCCACTATTCTATTTCTTAGCCAGTGCCATTTTATTTTCATGATTATCACTTTGTAATATAGTTTGGATTCTGGTACTCCTAGGCAGCCTTCTCTCACTTTTTTTTCCATTGATTCCTTTAATATTCATGACTTTTTTTTTTCCAAATGAATTTAATTATTTTTTCTAGCTCTATAAAATAATTTTTTGGTAGTTTGATTGGTATGGCACTGAATAAGTAAACTAAGTAAATAAGTAGACTCCCAAATATTTTATACTCCTTTGGTTCTTTTGTCTCCCTTACCTCTCACATCCATAGGTAAAGTCTTGTATTTCTTCCATTCATTTCCCTTTAGTCCATGGCAGCTTTTTGTCCAAGCCTTTCAATCAGAAGTATCTTTACTTCCTTAAGACTCTTAAAACTTTAGTTGTATATCTTTTACTTTTATTCTACTACTTATTTTAATTACTGTTGTACAGTATACCTCCTACTAGCACTGCTAGATTGTAAATTTTAAGGTTCTTGGAGCTGGGGGAGGAAAGGGAACAGGGGCTGCCTCATTTATTTTTGTATGGCTTTCATCTGCTAATGGACTATTTAGTAAGAGCATAATGAATGTTTAGTGAATACGAAGCACAGGAATCAGCCTCTGCTCTTTGAGAGATCTATAATTCTATTGCTCTCCTCTACTTTGCCTGGAGACATGAAATAGTTTTTATCATCTTACACAAGGTACTTAGGCCCTGAGAAAATGTTTATTGAAGGTAAAAGCCATGTAAATAGTACTTTCAGGTTTACAATGCACTCTCCTTACACCAATCTCCTGAGTTAGGTAACATAAATATTATCCCCAAATTGTGACCAAAAAAGAGGTTGAGAAATGAAGTGACTTGCCTATCCATGGTTACACAGCTATTAATCCCCTTCCTCCTCACCCCGCAACAAAGTGGCTGTGGTAAAAAAAAAAAAATTCCTTTACATAAAGGAAATCTAGGGCCAGGGATTTTTGGAGAGGAAATACAGTCCTGCTAAGAGGTGTTAACAGGATTTTTACTGAGCCAGTCTCTAACCTGAGAATGCTCGGAGCCACACAAAGCTAGAGACAGGAGTGCCAGTTAATCAGGCAGTTTAATTAATTAATTACAGAGTAAGGAATGTTCTCTTAGTTAATGTAAAAGCACAAGTTACATATTTAAATTACAAGTGGGGAAGAAGAGGGGAAGGTGGATTGCAAACAATCATTTAGTGGTTTCCCACGAGAAACCCACAAATCCCACGCTACAACAATTCCGGAGTCACGTCTTTGGAGTTCGTGACAAACTTCCCTAGGGTGCAGAACCAGAGTTAGCTCGGTGATGGGAACGGGTTCTACAATCTTTGATTCACTTCACTCAAGGTCCAGTGATTGTGAGCCTTGTCAACGTTTTGATTGATTAGTTGAAGCTGCATTGTGAGCTCTGACTCCCGAGCCTGAGAGGCAGCTAGCTTTTGAGGGAACTACATTATTAGTATATTCATTACACATATCATATAAATTAATATAAAAATCATAATTCCTCAGAGGTGAAACTTCGGGTATATTTTATTGTTATCTAACTGCTGGATGTGTTTTCCCTAGCACAACCTAAGGTCCTTGAGGGCAGCAGTGTTTCGTTTATTTATTTATTTATTTTTAATTTGATATCTTCAGGACATCTCCTGCTAGCACCTGGTACATAGCAGACGCTCGATAAATGCTAAATGTTAAAAATTAGGTTGTACTGAATTCTTCTCTCTCTATGCCTTTCCCCCGCTCCGCCCCACCCCGCCAAGCCCCACATAAACGCCTTCGCTGCTGGGGAGAGGAATCTAATTGGAATCTTCCAGCAGCACTTCTCTCAGCCCTTTCCATCCCCTTCCTTCCCTTCTCGGGCTGGATATTTTTGGGGAGGAAAGGAGCCCCTAATGAGTATTTCCACTTTCAGATTCTTTCATGGGGGTAGGAAGTAATGGAAGGGAGGTGGGCGGGCACTTGCTGGGGTGTCAGGGAGGCACTGGTGGGTTCCCCCACGAGCCTTCCTTCCGCCCTTCTTCCCAGGCGGAACTAATGAAGAAAGTGCCACACCACGTAAGCCCCAATATTACGACAAACAAATACCCAAACATCTTAGGAAAGATGACCCAAAACTCTGAGCCGCAATTTCCAGCTCAAGTCACAGGGGAAGAAGACGAAACTCCCAGAATGCTCCACGGCCCTAGCTTCCGCCCAATTTGGTAGAAACATCGCGAGATGTCATCAGGCCTTGGATTTTAGACAAAGGGATGGAAAGTTTTCCAGTTTTGCATTTCCGTCGATCGCCTCAGATCCATTTTGTTTCTATTTCCTTTCGGCCACTTTTAAATTTAAAAATGTATTTTTTTAAACTTAAAAACCCCCATATATATGCAGAAAAAAACAATTCCCAATCGCTGTAACATCCCAACGGGTCCCTGGAAACAGCCAATCAACGTGTAGTGGGGGAGGTGTGTCTGATCAGCTGTCCTCTCAGAAGAGCGCATCGTCAGGCGGAGGGGCCAATGAGAGTGCGAGCGGTGCGGTATTTGAATTCCGGCCGTAGGGCTGAGAGGTGGCGGAGGCGGCGGCGGTGGCGTGACCCTGGGGCTAGGTTCTGCTGGTGGGGTCGTGTTGCTTCTCTGTGTCCTGCCTAGTCCCTGCGGCCCCTGCTCTGGCCCGTCCCGGTCGCCATGGCGCTGTTCCGACGCCCCGCGGTGAGTCAGCGGCGTGGTGGCGATTCCCTGGCCCCTACCACCGCCGGGGACGCCCCCACTCCTACCGTCCCTTCCTGGGGGCGGCGGGGGGTGCTGACGTAGGTCCCTCCCCCAGTATCTTGACCCCAAAGTCCCCATCACCCGGAGGTGGCGCCGTCATTTTGTGGAGGGCCCAGAATCTGGAGTCGGGGCTCCGGGCTCCAACCCCAGTTCTTTCCCTTCAGAGCTCTGGGATCTTCTCTAGGTTTTGGAGACACTGCTTTCATGGTTTTCCTCTCATCTTAGGTCCTTCACGTTCTCTTTGCCTCAGTTTGCAATCCAGGCGCACCGCCTTGGTATCTTCTTCTACTATCTCTTAACTCACGTATCCAACCCCCTTTGCCCTCTGACAGTGTCACCACCCTCTCCAGGTCCTCGTCGCCTCAGACCAAGATGGTTGCAATAGCCTGTTGGGTGGTCTCCCTGCTACTAGTCTGTCCCTACTCCAGTCCATCCTTCAGAAGCCAAAGTAATTTTCCTAAAGCACACAACTCACCATGTCCCTCCACTGCTCAGTAAACTTCAGTGGCTCCCTATTACTTTCAGGATCGTGAAACCCAGTTTGGCATTCAAAGCTCTTTACACCCTGGCTCTTTCTTACACTTTACTCTCCTCCCTGTACTCTACCGTCCAGATTCATGTCCTTGCTGTTTCTCACGAGCAATACGAGCAATACTGCCATCTCTCTATTCCATGCCTTTTCACTGACTCTTTCCCATGATTATAAGGCTCACTCCCTTTGTCCCTGCTTGTTGACTTACCTGGCTTCTTTCAAGATTCAAAATCTCTCACTTTCTCTGCTGGAGGTTTTTCTTGCCCTCCCTCTCTTATCCCCTGGGGCTGAGCCTCTGATATCACTTTACATTTCCATTGTATATACAATTTTTTTAAAAAAAAATTATTTTTAGTTTTCAAAATTCAGTTTCATAAGTTTTTGAGTTTTAAATTTTCTCCCTCTCCCTCTCCTCCCTTTCCAAGACAGCATGCAACCTGATATGGGCTCTACATATACATTCCTATTAAACACATTTTCACATTATTCATGTTGTAAAGAAGAATTAAAACCAGTAGGAGGAGCCACAAGAAAGAAACAAAACAAAACAGAAGAAAAAAAAAAGAGTAAATAGTGTGCTTTGATCTGCATTCAGACTCCATAGTTCTTTCTCTGGATGTGGATAGCATTTTTGGTCATGACACTTTTGGAGATGTCTTAGATTTTTGCATTGCTGAGAAGAGCTAAGTCTATCAAAGTTAGTCATCATGAAATGTGGCTGTTGGCTGTGTACAACGTTCTCCTGGTTCTGCTCACTTCACTCAGCGTCAGTCTATACAAGTCTTTCCAGGTTTTTTGAAGTCTGCTTGCTCATCATTCCTTATAGCACAGTAGTATTCCATTACATTCAAATACCACAACTTGTTCAGCCATTTCCTAATTGATGGCATCCCCTCAATTTCCAATTCTTGGCCACCACAGACAGCACTGCTATAAATATTTTTTGTACATGTGGGTCCTTTTCCTGTTTTTATGATCTCTTTGGGATACAGCCCTAGAAGTGCTATTGTATCACATTGTCCAACATGACAAAACAAGAAAATGATAAATGTTGGAGAAGATGTGGGAAAATTGGAATAATAATGCATTGTTGGTGGAGTTGTGAAGTGATCCATCCATTCTGGAGAGCAATTTAGAACTATGCCCAAAAGGCTATAAAAATGCACATACCCTTTGACCCAGCAATAGCACTTCTAGGGCCCTGGACAGATCCTTGAGGGATAACATGATTAATGGGTATAACCTCAATGAAAAACCAGCAAAAGACACTGAGAAAGAAGAGGCCTAACTAAGAAAGGAGGAAAACCTAAACAGGGAGTATCCAGAAAAAGGTGATCCACAGTGTCAAAATTCTGCAGAGAGATCAAGAAGTATCAGGATTAAGAAGAGGTCATTAGATTTGGCAATTAAAAGAACATTGAGAACTTTTGGAAAGAGTAGTTAAGAGATCATTGGTGACTTTGAAGATGATTAAATATTAAGGTCAGAATCTAAGTTTTTTTAAGATTGGGGGAAACATGGGCATGTTGTTATTGTTTGTCCTTAGTTCTTGAAGAAGACCATGACCTCAGGAAGGTGATGCCGTGACTTGCCAAGTGAATTGGTTTTAAGTGAGGGAGGGCTGTGCAAAGTCACCAGCCTCACTTCCTCCTCTAGAACTGTCTGGGTCCAGTGGCAGGATATAGATCAGGAGGATTGGAGTTGGTTCCCAGGTGTGTTTGTAGATAGCAAGGAAGGAGCCAGTATTTATAGGGAGATCTGAAAGAGAGTGGGGATACTTGTGTGGGCAGTCATCTGGAACATGAAGGAGGGGCTGGGATTAAGGTTGCATTTGGAGTTTGTCTTTATAGAAGGACGACCTTTTCATCTGAGAAAAGAGAGAAGGAGATACTAAAAGAAGACATATAAGGGATATGAGAAGAGGAGAAGGAGCTCTCTTTGATGAACTTAAGTTTTTTGGTAACCTGTGAGAAGAGATGCTCAGCTGAGAGGTCAGGGAACAGGGAGCTCTAGAATTTGGCTCTAATATTCCTGAGAGTTTTCATTTTGGGATCTCTTTTAGGAGGTAATCAGTGGATTCTTTCAACTTCTTTTTTACCCTCTTGTTTTAGAATATCAGGGCAGTTTTCCTTGATAATTTCTTGGAAGATGATGTCTAGATTATTTTCTTGATCATGGCTTTCAGATAGTCCAAGAATTCTTAAATTATCTCTCCTGGATCTATTTCCCAGGTCAATTGTTTTTCCAATGAGATATTTCACATTTTCCTCAATTATTTCATTCTTTTGATTTTGTTTTATTGTTTCTTGATGTTTCTTAGAGTCATTGGCTTCTACTTTCCCAACTCTGATTTTTAAGGAAATTTTTTGTTTTGGTTAGGTAATGGGGTTAAATGACTTGCCCAGGGTCACACAGCTAGTAAGTGTTATATGTCTAAGGCGGGATTTGAACTCAGGTCCTCCTGAATCCAGAGCCAGTGCTTTATCCACTGTGCTACCTATTTGCCCCCAAGAAATTATTTTCTTTAGTGAGGTTTTGTACCTCCTTTTCCATTTGGCCAATTCAACTTTTTAAGGAATTTCTTTCTTCAGTGAATTTTTGTGCCTCTTTCCATTTGCCAGTTCTGCTTTTCAAGGCATTCTTTTCCTCACTGGCTTTATGTACCTCTTTTACTATTTGGCTTATTCGGTTTTTTAGGTGTTATTTTCTTTAGTATTTTTTTTTTGTGCCACCTTTACCAAGCTGTTGGCTCTTTTTTCATGATTTTCTTATATAACACTCATTTCTTTCTCCAATTTTTCCTTGCTTCTCTTATTTGATTTTTAAAATCCTTTTCAGATGCTTCCAGAAATTCTTTTTGGGCCTGAAACCAATCCATCTTTTTCTTTGAAGTTTTGCACATACCAGTTTTAATTTTGTTGTCTTCTTCTGAGTTTGTGTTTTGATCTTCCCTGTCCCCATAGTAACTTTCTTTGGTCAAGTTGTATTTTGTTGTGGTTGTTGTTTGTGCATTTTCCAGCCTATTTCTTAACTTTTAACTTGATGTTAAAGTGCAGTTCTGCTCTTGGGGTGGAGGGAGCAGTGTTTCAAGCTTCAGGTTTTTTTGTGCAGCTGTTTTCAGAGTTAGTTTTGGGGGTCTGTAAATTTTCAGTTCTTCAAAGTGGTGTGATCTAAGGAGAGATGTGTTTACTGTTCTCCTGGCCTGTGCTCTGGTGTGTGAGCTACTACAAGCACTCTTTTCTGCCCTGAAACTGTGACCAAGGTCCCTGATTCCCTCCTGCCACAAGCACTGGTGTGGTAGTGCTTCTTCTTACCCTGGGACTGTGACTCAGACCTACATATCGGCAATGCAACAGAATCTTGCACCAAGTGCTATCAAAGGGATGCCTGTAATCTTCTTCTGACTGTTGTCTCATCCCATACCCTCTGTGGGCTGAGAGCTCTGGAAGCTGCCAGTTCAGTCATCCCCAAGGCCTGCTGCTGGCTTTCACCTAGTGACTGTTGTTGGCTGCCTGGTACAGGGCCCTAGTGCTTTGCTGCTGGTTGAGCCAGGGCTCAGAGTCTGGCTGCTGGCTTGCCCAAGGCAGCCTGTTCTGTGCTGTGTAGTACTCTCACCCTGGTGTGACATACCTTTCCTGCTGACTTTCTAAGTTATATTGGGCTGGAAAATTGTTTCACCCTAAACCTTTTGTGGGTTCTGCTGCTCCAGCATTCATTTTGAGGCATTATTTTAAAGTTGGGGAATTTGGGAGAGCTCAGGCAAGTCCCTGCCTTTTCTCTGCTATCTTGGCTCCACCCTCCATCAATATGTATATTGAAATCCTCCCCTAATATGAGAATAGGATGTGTCTGATAGTACATGCAATGTCCCATATCCTTAGATCCCTGTTTCCAAACTGTGAAAAGAAGTGAAATTGGTACATCTTCTAAACTCTTCTTTTAACATTTTTAATAGCCAAAACTCCTGTATACTGATTAGCTTGATTCTCCTCAGTCTGATATATATCTTAGTCATTTTACCAAAACCCATTCTTTAAAAAAAAATTATTTATTTTTAGTTTTCAACATTCACTTTTATAAGATTTTGAGTTCAAAAATTTTCTCCTTCCTTCCACTCCCCCCTTCCCAATCTGATACAGGCTATACATGTATGATCATATTAAACATATTTCCACATTAGTCATGTTGTGAAAGAAGAATCAGAACAAAAGAGAAAAACCCTGAGAAAGAAAAAGCAAAAAACAACAAAAGAAAGAGAAAATAGTATGCTTCAGTCTTCATTCAAACTCAGTAGTTCTTTCTCTGGATGTGGATAGCATTTTCCATCATGAGTCTTTTGGAATTGTCTTAGATGATTGCATAGCTCTGAAGAGCTAAGTCTAACAAACTTGGTCATCACACAGTATTGCTGTTACTGTGTACAATTTTCTCCTGGTTCTGCTCACTTCACTTAGCATCAGTTCATGCAGGTCTTTCCAGATTTTTCTGAAGTCTGCCTGCTCCCCATTTCTTATGGAACAAAAGTATTCCATTATATTCATATACTACAACTTGTTCAGCCAGTTGATGGGCATCCTCTCAATTTCCAATTCTTTCCACCACAAAAAGAGCTGCTATAAATATTTTTGTACATGTGGGTCCTTTTCCTTTTTTATGATCTCTTTGGGATACAGCCCTAGTAGTGGAGTTGCTAGATCAAAGGGTATGCACAGTTTTATAGCCCTTTGGGCATAGTTTCAAATTGTTCTCTAGAATGGTTGGATCAATTCACAATTTCACTAACAATGCATCAGTGTTCCAATTTTCCTACATCTTCTCCAACATTTATAATTTTCCTATTTTGTCATATTAGCCAGTCTGTTAAGTGTGATGTAGTACCTCAGAATTGTTTTAATTTGCATTTTTCTAATCAATAGTATTTTAGAGCATTTTTTTCATATGACTATAGATAGCTTTAATTTCTTCATCTGAAAACTGCCTATTCATATCCTTTGACCATTTATCAATTGGGGAATGACTTATGTTCTTATACATTTGACTCAGTTCTCTATATATTTCAGAAATGAGGCCTTTATCAGAGACACTGGATGTAAAAATTGCAAAACCCATTCTTGAAAAAGCTCTTTTGAGGCCACATGGGGCCAGCATGGTATCTATCCTTATAAAATAGTAACTGATGATAGTTATATTATAACCAAGATTTTAAAGTAGCTAACTACTGTCATCATGCATAGGAAGTTTTTGTTTTCTTTTCCCCTAAGCAAGTTTATCTAGAGCCAATTCAGTTTGTTGTTAGTAGGTTATATTTTTATTGCATATAGGAAAATTTATCATCCTTAGCCCTCACACCTTTTGGTATCTAAAGTAATTCTTTCTGCAAGAAATCAAGTTCAGTTCTAAATACTACTGTTGTACAAGAAAGCTGTAAAAAGTGCTGTAAGTTTAAACGGGCCACTTTAGTGAAACATTTCTAGTGCCTAAAAAGACTTGATAAGAAGCAGAATTAAGTGTAATAAGGTAATACCAGCTTTTTTTTTTTGGCCAGGCAATGGGGTTAAATGACTTGTCCAGGGTCACACAGCTAGTAAGTGTTATGTGTTATATGTCTAAGGCTGGATTTGAGCTCAAGTCCTCCTGACTCCAGTGGTGCTTTATCCATTACACCATCTAGCAGCCCCTAATATCTGATTTTAAATGGTTGAACAGAATGGCTTTCTAATATTGTTTCCAAACGGGGTTTCTGAAAAGGAAGGCTTTAAAATAAGTACCTTTTTATCCCAGGGATTTGTAGTAAATGTCTTAGGTGGTATATTCCTTAATAATTTTTCTGTGAAGCCTTCAAATCCTCTTACAGATCAGACCCTATTGAATCCTCAAAATATCCTTGCAGTGTAAGGAACTCTTTAACACAGAAGAGGATACTAAGGGAAAAGACCGTTTCTTATTTCCTATTGAAAAATGCTTTTTATTGGTCTTTTGTTTTTATATCACTGTTTTTTTCTGAATATGCCTTTCTACCTTCCCCCAACCGTCAGTACCATCTCTTGTAAAAAAAAAAAAGATTAAAAAAAGAAGAGAAAATAATCAGTTAACCAAATAATCATTATGTCAGTTGATTCTGATGAAATATAATATTGTATGATATATTTCACCCCACCTCTCCAAAAAAATGAGGAGAATATTTTTTCATCATTTTAAAGAACATTATAATTATACAGTTTTCAGTTTCTTGGAGCATTTTTAATGATTGTCAACTGTTTGATATGTCATTGTCTCTGAAGCTTAAATGATCTTTTCTTTAGGTGTCTAATGGTTTGGAGGATGTTAACAAAGGAATTAATTCAAAAGCCACGATGCAAGTTACTGTTAGAAGAGCTGCTCTTGAAGAAATTGGAAATAAAGTTACAACCAGAGGAGCACAAGTAGCTAAGGTAATTTTATTATAGATGTGTATGTTTTTGTACACTTTTTAATTATTGGAAAAACTTGATATTAATACTAATGCCATAACTTTTTTTTATCATAGAAAGTTGAGAAAACAAAAGTACTTGTGAAAAAAACCAAAACCACAAATGTCATAAGAGAAGTAAAGCCTACAGCTACTGTGAAACCAGTGCCAAAGGAAACTTTAGCTCCAAAGGTAGGAAATCATAGATATTGTAGGTGATACTTATCAGATTAGCTAATTTTTATCCAAAATACTTGGTTTTCTTTCACGTATACCATAGGCAACATACTGTAATAGAAAGAGTTCTGGAATTGGAGTCAGAAGACCTACGTTCAGGTGCTGGCTCTGATACTAGCCATATGATTAGGTATTTCCTCATTTCTAAAATTGAGATAATATTTAACGTACTTAACTACTAGTAGTGTTGTCTTATTGCCGATATAGTTACACATATGCTTAATCGGCATTTCTGTTATTGTATCTTCTACCTAGTCTGCTTCTTTTACTCATTTTCACTTCATCTCCTTGAGACTCTTCCTTTCTCCTTATTTTCTGCCTCTAGATTGTTTTACTACAAATCCACATGGGCTTGAAGAAAGTATTTTATAAACTGTAAAATTCTATGTTGTCCTCATTGTCGTCGTCATCATCATCATCATCATCATCATGTCACTGCTACTTTGAAACTAATTTTCCCTAAAGAAAAATGGAAATTGACAGCTAGATCCCTGCTTTGTGCCAGTAATTTAAAGGAAATCAATATATATTAATTTTTGTAGTAATGCTTTAGGCTCATAGGATTGTTTATCTAGGGCTGAAAAAGGATCACTCCTCATTTTATATATGAGGCCCAGAAAAGTTGTGAGCCTTGGTCCTTTTACTCTAAAACCAAAATTTCCGCTCTGTCATGGTTTGAGCTGGTGTTAGGATCATATTTACTTTTAATCTCAAAACAAAATGCTATTTGAACTGTTTGCAATAGATACAACTCTACTGAAAATTTAAACTGGCCTATGAGAACTTCAGAATGCTGGAAATTTGTGTCCCAACCTTAAGTTAATATTAGTGCCAAAATATTGTACTTAGACCTGTTAGAGGAAGTTTCATGTCTTAGATTTGGGACTCAGGAGATTCATCTTGCCTCTTCTCCTGACTAGTTGTAGGGCTTTGGACAAATCACTTAACTTCTTTGAGCGCAAGTTTCCTTCAATGATTTGTAAAGTCCCAGTTCTGTGATTCTTTGAGTTACCTAGTAGCTTAGTGTTAGAATGCTAATGAGGCCAAGGAGAAAGCTGTTTTTTTCCCCTCATATACACAACTTGAATATTTATTGAGCATTTACTTTGTGTATTCTTCTGTCAGTGGACTAGAAGCTTCATGATTGGTCTTGAACCAAATATCTTAAGTCCATTTTTCACACTGCTTCTGATACGATAATCATCTTAATATACTGATCTGGTCCCACCATTCCTTAGTTGAAATACTTTCAATAGCTCCCAGTTGACTGCTAGATAAAATAGATGTGTTTTTGTCTTTGCATTTAAGGTCTAGCATAGGATGTCTCTAATCTACCTTTCCAGCCTTATTTTACACTGCTTACCTTCACAATTCAATGTTAGAGACCATTTGGCCTCCTTCTCTGTTACTCACTCTCATCCTACCCTTTATTGTCCCTGTGTATTGTTGTTCATGTTGTTTCCTATATCTGGAATCTGAGCCTTCTCCTTAATCATGTTTGTTTAGCAGTGTGCCCTTCTTATACTTGAAGGTTATCATACCACACTTGCTTTTCTAAACTAAATATCCTTACTTCCTTCAGCTGATCTTCATAACTGGAGGTTCATGACTGGAGTCTCATTCACTAACCCTGCCACCATATTGAGGAAACTTTCCAGCTTGTTAATGTTCTCCCTAAAATGTGGTCCCCAGAAATGAACACAGTTCTACAGATCTGATCTAATCAAAGCAGAGTATGGCAGGAATATTAATTCTTTATTAATTTGTTGATTCTTTAGTCCTGAGCCTCTTCAGGGAGCTTATATTGTGTCCTCTTAGTACAAGGAGGACACTTTGGACCTGCTATGAATAAGGCATTCACGTTCCCTGCTATGTAGGGGGAAAGAAAAGCATATAAAAAGCTTATATTTATGATGCAAATAAAACTTACTATAGGACCTCTACCAAGACTGATAGTTGAATTTGAGAGTATTTCAGATTCGTTTCATTTACCTCACTATACCCATTTCTCCTTTATTTCCTCTCACTGGAAATTGATCCCAGGAACATGGATTCAGATCCTTGGGGATCTTTAATAAACTTAAAAAAAATATTTTTATTTTCAGTTCCAAATTCTTTCCATTCCTTCAACCCCTCTCCCACCCATTGAGAAGGCAAGGAATAGATTACCCTTTATACATATGAAGTCAAGTAAAGCATTTGGTCATGTTTTGGGGAAAAAAATAAGAAAAATAAAGGGAAAAATATGCTTCACTCAGAGTTCATCATTTCTCTTTCTGAAAGTAGATAATATTTTTCATCATGAGTCCTTTGGAATTTTGGTGGATCATTGACTTGAACAGAGTTTCTAAGGTTTTCACAGCTGATCATCTCTACAATATTGCTATTACTGTGTGCCTTGTTATTATGGCTCTGCCCCCTTTTTGTAGTTTTTTTTTTTTTGGTGGAGCAATCGGGGTTAAGTGACTTGCCCAGGGTCACACAGCTAGTAAGTGTCAAGTGTCAGAGGCCGATTTTGAACTCAGGTCCTCTTGACTCCAAGGCCGGGGCTTTATTCACTGTGCCACTTAGCTGCCCTGACTCTGTTCACTTTATTTTGCATGACTTCATATAGGTCTTTCTAGCAAAGTAGTATTGTATTACATTCATATACTGTAACTTGTTCAGTCACTTTTTAATTTATAGGTATTGTGGAGATTTTAAAAACTGTCCAATCTGCAAGAAAACAAACAAAAATTCAGGCCTACTGTCAGAATTTATAATTCCTATCCCTGTGGAATCATATCAAACTGATTAATACTGATTGGAATAAAATAGGGGTACAATTAATCCTCTATCACAGAATTCTCTGTTTCCAGTTCTTTGCTACCACAAAAAGAGCTGCTGTACATGTTTTTGAACATGTGGATTCTTTTCCTCTTCTTTGATTTCTTTGGGATACAGAGCTAGTAGTGGTATTCCTGGGTCAATGGGTATGCACAATTTTATAATCCTTTGAGCATAGTTGCAAATTCTTCTCCAGAATGGTTGGATTAGTTCATTGCTCCATCAGCAGTGCGTTAGTACTGTACCTATTTTCCCACATCCCTTCCAGCATTTGTCATTTTCCTTTCATGTTATCTTAACCAATCTGATGGGTGTGAAGGTGGTACTAAAGAGTTGTTTTAATTTTCATTTTTCTAATTATTAGTGATTTAGAACATTTTTTCTTTTGGCTGTTGATAGCTTGGATTTCCTCCTTTGAAAACTGCCCATTCATACCCTTTGACCATTTATCATTTTGGGAATAGCTCCTATTTTCATAAATTTGGCTCAATTCCTTTATGTCTGAGAAATAAGACCTTTATCAGAGAAATATGCTGTAAATGTCCACTGCCCCCCCCTTCCCCTTTCTGGCTTTTCTTCTAATTTTGAATGCATTGGTTTTGTTTGTGCAAAAGCTTTTTAATTTCATGTAAAAAGAATTATTCATTTTACCTACCGTGTACCTCTCTAGCTCTTGTTTGATCATGACTCTTCCTCTATCCATAGATTTCACAGGTAATTTTTTCCATGCCCCTCTAATTTGCTTATGATATCATCCTTTATGTCTAAATCATGTACCATTTTGACTTTTTTTTTTATATACAGCATTAGATGCTGATGTTTGCCTAGTTTCTGCTGGACTGCTTTCCAGTTTTCTTGTAGTTTTTGTCAATAGTGAATTCTTGCCCTAATAAGCTTAGTTTTTTGGGTTTATCAAACACTATGTTACTGTGCTCATTTGTCTCTATATATTGTATACCTAATTGTGTACCTATTCCATTGATCAACCCCTCTATTTCTTATCCAGTACCAAGTTATTTTGATGATTACAGCTTTCTAGTATAGTTTGAGATTTGGTATTGTTAGACTCCCTTCCTTTTCATTTTTTTCGTTGATTCCCTTGATATTCTTGACCTTTTGTTCCTCCAGATGAATTTTGTTACTATTTTTTTCTGGCTCTATAAAGTAATTCTTTGGTAGTTTGTTGGATATGGTACTGAATAAGTACATTAATTTAGGTAGTATTGTCATTTGTGTGAAGAATTTTTTTGTAATTGTGTTCATATGGTTCTTGTGTGTGTATTTTGGCAGGTAGACTCCCAAGTATTTTATACTGCCTACAGTTATTTTAAATAGAATTTCTATCTTTTTTTTTTTTTTTTTGCTGAGTTTTCTTGATAATATATAGAAATGGAGGATTGTGGGAATATGGTGGAATAGGTCAGAAAATTTTTGGCTCTCCAAATTTCCTCTACAAAAAAACACATATACCACCTCAGAGTGAATGTAGTGTAGCATAAATAAACAGGACTTGGGTAGGACAGTTGTTGTCCAAAAGACAAATTGAGAAGACCCCAGGAAAGATCCAACCTCTCGGCCTGAGTGAAGTGCAAATACCTCCAGGCCAACTCTTTAGTTGGGAGATAGCCTTTTCCTTCCTAAACTGAGTTGGAGAAGATCAAAAGTCCTTCCATTGTGGAGGAACACCAAGCACAACTGTGCTGACCTGGTACGGTCCCAGGGGAGAAAGAGCTAGCACACAACTGGTGATTGCAGTACCAGAAGGGCAGGGACCCTGTTGGCTGTGGGTACTTGCAGAAGGGCAGAGTCCCTGGTTTTAGTTCCAGGGCAGAAAGGACAGCTAAAGTTTGTAGCCACCAGAGGGATGACAGGGAACAAGAACTTTGCAGGACAGTGTGACTGGGGGCCCTAGCCATGGCTTAGGGGTCAAGAGGAGAGCCTAAGGTTGGGCCCTGGGACAGAGCTCAGAAAATAACAGTAAACAGGACCTGAGGCTTGAGGCATCATTCTCCATACGTTGGGACTAGAACTTGATTGTATTAACAGCTGCTAAAAACAAAATAAAACAAATAAAAATAAGTAAGCAAAGGAGAAAGAACCCAACCATACAGTTACTATGGGGATAGAGA